TCCTCACAAATGGACCAATAAACAGCATTCTTATCAACGGAGAAAAGATTGAAGTTGTCAAGAACTTCATTCTTCTTGGATCAACTATCAATACTCACGGAAGTAGCAGTCAAGAAATGAAAGGACGTGTTGCAAATCTATGCACAAGACCTTTTTAAAGTGTTGAAGAGCAAAGATGTCAGCTTGAGGACTAAGGCTCGCCTGACCCAAGCCATGGTGTTTTCAATAACCTCATATGCATGCAAAAGCTGGACAGTGAGTAAGGAGGACCATAGAAGAATTGATGCTTTTGAGTCATGGTGTTGGAGATTATTGAAAGTGCCAGGGGCTGCACAAAGAACCAATAGATCCGTTTTGGAAGAAGTGCAGCCAGACTGCTCCTTGGAGGCCAAGATGGCTAAACTCCGATTCTCATACTTCAGACATATTGTCAGGAGGGAGCAATCACTGAAGAAGGCTATCATGTTTGGTAATGTGGATGGTCAGAGAAAAAGAGGGAGTCTCCCAATGAGATGGATTGTCCAAGTGATAGCATCGATGGACTCAAGCGTGTCAACAGTAGTGAGGGTGGCCCAGGACTGGGCAGTGTTAAGTGCTGCTGTGCATAAGGTCGCTATGGGTTAGTACCGACTATATGACATCTAACAACAGGGTGGCTTTGCAGGATGAGCACTGGACAGCACACCACAAGGTCATTGGTTTGAGCCCACCAGCTGCTCTGCAGGAGTGTGATGAAACTTTCTGCTCTCTCAAAAGATTTACAGCCTTGGAAACCCTATACAGGGTCTCTATGAGTTGGAATTGATTGACAGCATGTAAAAATAAAATGCTTAGTTAATTATATAATAAATATATAAGAGGGGCTTCAAAAAATTTGTGGAAAAATTTCATATGACGCTCCCTCATATGCATAGATATATATTTAATACATATATTATGCTTATATAGGAGTCCTGGTGTGGCGCTGTGGGTTAATAATGCGTTGGACTGAAAAGTTGGTTTGAACCACAACGTTGAAGGTTCAAGTTCACCAGCCGCTCCTCGGAAACCCTGTACAGCTTCATTATGGGTCAGAACTGTCTCAAAGGCACTCAACAACAATTATGTTTGTATAGTATATATATATATAATAAAGTTTATAAAAGAATGGAATGGTTACTTCAATGGACTAATGGGATATGTGATTATCAGTCTTCACCACTCTGAGACTAAAAGAAGTAGAGGGTGCCCAGCTAGGACAACCAACGGCTCTGGAAGAGATCACATTAGAAAAATCGTGGAAGAAACTCAAGGTTATTTTTAAAAAATGAAAGAAAGGAAGGAAGGAAGAAAGGAAAGAGAAGGAAGGAAGGAAGGAAGGAGAGAGAGCGAGAGAGCGAGCGAGCGAGAGCGGAGGAACCAGAGACTGGCCCTTGACCACCCTTCAGGCCTAGAAAGGAATTCACGGCCAGGATCCTATTTTTAGTCTTGGGGTGGAGACGTGGGGCAACACCACCAGTAAGGTTAGCTAACCTTAGAATCATTCACAATGAAAAGGGCACCATTTTGCTAAGGACACAGTTGAGAAGGGGTCTCCATACCTGCATTTAGTGAGGTCGGCAAGGGCGTTGCCACAGCACCACGTTATGCCGGGTGGCATGCAGCACGAGCTGGACGCTCCTCGGGGAACTCTGTGCTCCAGGTAAGGAGCTCAGTCTGCCTGACTTATGATTATGGCGCCCTGGAGCCTCACATTAACGGCCAAATCTTGCAGCTGCAGCACAGCACACTCCACGTGACTAACTTAAACTCCACGGAGGAGGAGAATGAAGAGGCACTGGAAAAGGATGATGTCACAACCCAGGTAGCTCTCCAGTCGGCACTGAAGTTCAACGCTGGAGGTCCTATCAATCATACCATTTTCTGCGCAAACCTGAGTCCTAATAGTGGTGGAGAACCCAAAGGGAAGTTGCTGGAAGCCATCAAACGTGACCTTGGCTCCTTTGACAAATTTAAGAAGACGGTATCTGTTGGTGTTCCAGGTTCAGGCTGTGGTCGGCTTGGTTTCAATAACGAAAGGGGATTCTCATAAATTGCTGCTTCTTCCAATCAAGACCCATTACAAGGAACAACAGGTCTTATTCCGCGGCTGGCAGTGACGTATGGGAGCATGCGTACTACCTTCAGTATAAGACTGTCTGACCTGATTATCTAAAAGTGATTTGGATTGTAATCAACCGGGGAAAGAGAAGGGATGGAAAGGTGGGTGGAATTCAAGGAGGGACCACAAGGAGGAAGCGGAATAACTATTGTAGCAACGAAAGGATTGCAATCATTGAGATGAAGTAAAGCGTATGATTTGTTGATTGTAAAACTGATGAGCTTGTCTGTAAATCGCCATTCAATTCACAATAAAACTTAAAAAAAAATTAGAAACGATCTAAATGTCCGATAAGAGCTATATACAAAAATCAACACATTTTTTAAAAATTAGAGGAAAAAAAAAGAAAGATAATGGAATTTTCCCATGAACCTTTTGAAGCCCCCATACATGCATATGAGATAGATCTATATAAAAAATTAGCTTATGCCAAGTGTTCAACTCATGAGAAGTAAAGCAAAAGACAAATAAAAATAATAATGTAACATTATTTTCTACTATCCAGACTACTAAATACAAAACATTGCCTGATACATGCTGTTGGCAACTGTAGAAAAATGCTCTGTCATACATTCTTGGTGGGGATAAAATTGGTGAGAAATCTTTGGAAGGCAATTTGAAAATTCTATCAAAATGGAGATGCACATAAATATTGACCTACAACTTCACCTTCTTTAAGCTTTAAGGTTAGATATAACCATATATGGTCACACAGATGGACCCATGAAGATGGTCAGTGCAGCATTGTTTCTGATAAGAAAGTATTAGAACTTTTTTTATACAAAGTTAATCAGTAGGGCTAATTTAAAAAGTGTAAAGTTGATAAAATGAAATACTATGCAGCTATAAAAAATGTACTGATGGGAAATTATCTCCTAGATGTATTATTTGGGTTTTAAAAAATAGCAATGCAAAGGAAAATTCATTATAAAAAACAAAGCAAAGCAAAGCAAAACAAAACAAAAAACCCATACATACATACATACATGCAATTGTTTCAGTACGCAAAAATATATACATCTAAGGTTTTATCAGAAGCTGCAGTTATTTCTCAGGAGAGGAATCTGGGTATTTAGAATGATATTTGTTTTTCAATATCTACACTTTGGATTTTTTAAAAAAATTTTTAATGACGTGCTTATATTCCTTTATCAATTCAAAATTAATTTAAAATGAGCACAGATGGTAGCTACCATTGCGATGATGCTCTTCCTCCTGCTATTATTAGATCTTGAATTTGGGCTGTTCCGCCATGAAAGAAGAGTGACGAAGTGGTTATTATGAGGTGACTTCAACAGAGGTGTGCATGGACTTACCAACGCCAGTGTAGAGACAGAGTACGCTGGGAATTCTGGGGAGAAGCCGACCAAACACCTGGGCCATGGGCATTAGAATTTGGAAATGGCTTTTGGCATCCCTGGGTGACAAAATCAGTTAAGTGCTTGACTATAAACCAAGAGGTTGATGGTTAGAGCCCTCCCGGAGACTCCTTGGAAGAAAGTCCTGGATATGTGCTTCCAAAACCCTATGGAGCAGTTCTACTCTGTATATACAGGGTCACCATGAGTGCCCTGGTGGTATAATGTTTAAAGCAATCGACTGCTAACTGAGAGTTTTGAACCCACCAGCCACTCCACAGAAGAGAGATGTGGCAGTCTGCCTCTGTAAAGTTTATGGAAACTACTTTTGTGGCCCAATTTTTAGTTAAGCTATAGACAGGTATATAGAGGAGACAACAAAACTAGTAAGGTGTGCTCACTGTGGAATGTTCAGTCATTCAAAATAGAAAAAAAGAGCAATATTTACCTAAGGACAAAGTTGAGAAAAGATGGGAAGGTAGGTGGTATGGAAATAGGAACCACAAGGAGAAAGTGGGGTAACTTGTTTCATGAAAGGGCTTGCCTTCATTGAAATGAACCAAAGTGTGTAATTTGTTGAATGTAAAGCTGATGATCCTGTCTGTAAACCTTCACTCAAATCACAATAAAAAGCTAAAAAAAAAAAAAAAAAATGGAATCCCTATGGAGCAATTCTACTTTGTCTTATAGAGTCTCTGTGCGTCAGAAGGGACGTAAACCCTATGGCTGCCTCATAGTAATATTCTCCATTTGTAGACTAACTACTCTCAAGTCTTAGAAATTTGGAGAGACAAAGAACCTAGGTAGTCATTAATTTAATTCATCAAACCAAGGACTTAGGGCTGACAAATGGATTATTTTTCTTTTTGAAACTATATTTTAATGAAAGTATTTAAATGCTTGGGACATTTTCAATCATCCCAGCGCAATATAATGGTTAATTTTAGGAGCTTGTGAGTTTGATTTATATTTAAGACTTTCACAATCTATATATAGGTTAGTCTTTAATAACCATTTATACATAGCTTCTTTTTATATAGGTCACGCATTCTCTTGGGAGAGTAACAAGATTAGAAATAACAAATACAGTGCAGAATAAATTAAAATGTTTCAAACTGCATTATATAATTTCAGAAAATTGGTTTCACACTGAAATGTATAAGATCAAATGATTTGAAGGAAAAAAACAAAACCCAAAATTCAAACCTTGCGTGTGTATTTGAATTGTAGTTGTGTCATGCGTTTTATCCTTCTAAATTGTGGAGTCCTCGTGTGGCACTGTAGAACACGGATTGGACTTTTAACCACAAGATCGGTGATTGAAGCCCACCAGCTCCTCAGAAACCTTACACAGAATCGCTATGAGTTGGAACAACACTCTGGTACTGGTAGATTTTCACAGTACTCCAGCAATGTGGCAGTTCATTTGGGTCAGCATGGCTACAATTATTATAATTTTTCTTTATTTCTGGTTGTTTAAAAAAGTTGGCTTTATTTTCCTGGAAGACAAATAGCATTCATTAGTCAAAATGTCAAAGGCGTATCATAAAAGTAATTGTGTTTTTATATATAATTCTCCAAACTCTTATATATACAAAATGTTCTTATTACACTCTGTGCAATAAATTCAGAGGCTGTTATGGGACAGGAGATAGCAAAATTGGGGCCAATACTTTTCTAATTACTTAGGATAATAAAAGTGTGGCTTGGTTTTCCTCTTACGACTAAATAAAGGAGACACGCTGCTCTAGAGAGCATATTATTCTGGCTGGTTTTGTTTTGTTTCTGTGAAGTTTCGCGTCACTCTCCTTCCACTGAGTCCTCAGGCCTTTTTCAGTTTTTCTATTCGTGCATTAAAGGCCTCTTCCTGTATTTGCAGCTTCTCGTTTATCTCGGTCTGTGAAGACAATCATAAAAAAGTGGGTATGATGGAGCTATCTTTTGCTGCACATTGTCTTTGTGGTTTTGACATACTCTAGTGCCTAAAGACAGACATTATCCCTCACACACCTTCCTGTTTTGCAGACACAGCCATGTTTCAGCCTGTAGTGATGTGATAACACTTTATCATATTTCTCTACACATTCCCAATGTATAGCATGTCTGCTATGAACAGGAAGTGGTATTTCGACAGCCATTTTTCACATAGCCTTGTGTTGGAAGATAGGATAATTTATCTGTGTTTTCAGACAGACTTTACCAATAAGCACCAAATCAGAATAACTGCTCTGCGCTCCAATATTGCATTGTTGTTGATTCCCTTTGCAATGGATGGTTTTGTCTCCTGGGTAATCCATTCTAAATGAGAATGCATAAAACTTCTGCTGTGAAGTAACAACACAAATAATCTCACAATTAGAACAATTCTCATAATTAAAAGAATTTATCACACATAATTCTTAGAATTATCCTCCTTACAGTTTATTTTTGATAGATTGTTGACGGGGCTTAGTGATTGATGTAATAGTCAGTGGATTAACATTCCTACCTGTGCAATTTCAGAAACACTTTCAGATTATTTGAACAGAAGTAGTCCTAGAAATGTCTTCCTTTTCCACAGTGAATAATAAAATTATATTCAAAGATAACAATAGTGGGAAACATAATAAAATTGGTTTTGCTCTTGTTGGTTACATGGATTTAAAAAATCTATATGTTTACAAGGAGCAATCTATATACAGTTGGAGTCCTAGTATTGCGCTGTAGGATAAACACTGGACTGGTAACAGCAAGGGTGGCAGTTCAAACCCACCAACTAACTGCTCTTGGAAACCCTACACAGGGTCGCTATGTATCAGAACTGACTTGATGGTACATGGCAACAATCTGTATGGAAAAATATTAATGAATTTAAAGTGTACAGTAGTAACATAGATAACAGAATTGAGGTCTTTAAAGTAATTATAATTTTTAGATTTAATCGCTTTTAGATATAAAAAAATTCAAACTTCATCATAGAGCTCTTACTTATTTATTTTTATGCTTTTAGGAGTGCAACTATAATAGATAGTTTTGAGATGTCGACATTGATTATTTTATCTGATGTGATTTTATTATACCTTTATAATAACAATTGATCTTACAGCGCCACACCAGCGTCTTCCTGATAAACTCATATGGCTGTTGTTAGGTGCCATTAGTTGAGGTGGTTCCAACTCAGAGCAATCCTTGTACAGCAAACGGAAACACTGCCTACTCCTGCGCCATCTTCGCCATCTTTCCGATCCTTACCATCTTTGATCCCACAGTTGCAGCCATCGTGCTCATCCATCTCCTTGAGGGTCTTCTGCTTTTTTGCTGTCCTTCTTCCAGATGACATGTCAAAAGTACGTGAAACAAAATCTTGCCAGCCTCACTTTTAAGCAGCATTTTGGCTGTACTTCTTCCAAGTCTGATTTAGTCCTTCTTCTGGTGGTCCACGCTCCATTCTTCTTTAACACCGTAATTCAAAGGCATCATTGCTTTCTCAGTCTTCCATATTTACTGTTCAGCGTTCATAAGCACGAGGCACTGACAATACCATGGCTTGGGTCAGGCACACCTCAATTCTTAAAAGTGTTAAAAACTTTCTGAGATGTCATTTTGACATCTTTCCTTTTTAACACTTTAAAGAGATCTTTTTGCAGCAGATTTGCTCAATGCAATACGTTGTTGGTTTATTGATTACTGTTTCCATGGTAATTGACTATGTTGTTGTTGTTAAGTGCTGTTGAGTCGGTTTCGACCCATAGCGACCCTTTCCGAGGCTGTAAATCTTTACAGGCGCAGAACACCTCATCTTTCTCCCGCGGAGCGGCTGGTAGTTTCGAACTGCTGGCCTTAAGGTTCGCAGCCCGATTCGTAACCACTATGCTACCAAGTAAAGTGAAATCATTAACAACTTCAATCTTTTCTTCATTTATCATGTTGTTGCTTGTTGGTCCAGTTGTGGGGATTTTTGTTTTATGTTAAGGTATAATCTATACTGATCTTCATCATTTGATCTTTATCAGTAATTAAGTTTTCTTTACTTTCAGCAAGCAAGGTTGTGTCATCCACCTATCACAGGTTGTTAATGATATTTTCTTCATATAGTCCACCTTCACAAATTATTTGCTCAGTAGGCTGCTCCTTGGAAACCCTCTACAGGGTTGCTATGGGTCGAAACCGACTCAACAGCATTTAACAACAACAACAACATACTCACTAATACCGACTCCACGGCACTTAAAAACAACAACAACATATTCACTAATAGTCTAATTTCTTCTCAACTAAAGAAAAATGTGTAATCATTTACCAGTTTTTATTTACTACCTCGTCAGGGTTTTCATATTAACCTGGAAATATTTCTGGTATTTCATGGAAACAGAATCCATCTAATCAAGTATGGGCCTTGGGGGATAAGTTCATGAAGGTAAGATGCATACCTAATAGAGTGGTATACTAATAGAGAAACTAACTTTCAAATTTCTTGAATAACCAGCAGAGCTCAGGTCAAAAGACTCCATTTCTGGTCAAGAACTGGTTGCCATTAGTTTGCCATACTTCCTTGTATTCCCCAGAACACTGCAGAACAGAAGGACATGCCTACAACCACTAGGGCTGGAACTGGTTCTAATGTTTACTTTTAGGAAAGAATGGAAAATTAATGTCCTAAATTCAAGAGCCTTTCATTGACCACTGTCTTGAAGGAGCTCTGGTAGCGTAGCGGTTACGAATTGGGCTGTGGACCACAAGGTCGGCAGTTCAAAACTACCAGCTATTCCGTGGGAGAAAGAGGAGGCTTTCTGCTCCTGTAAAGATTTACAGCCTCGGAAACCCTGTACAGGGTCGCTATGAGTTCGAACCGACTCCACGGCACATCACAACAACAACAACAACCTTGAAAGGATCTTATGCATAGTTTTTCTAACTTGGAAGCTTCATATTGACCTAGAAATCTGGAGGGTCCCTACATGACAAACTTCTCTCCAGGTTTTTATATTATTTTACCATATTGCTTAGACAGAGCCAACAGCCGACATTTACTGCAGGAATTCAGTGTTAGCATTCATATTTCTCTGAAATGCAATTCTTTAACTACATTAAAGTTTGCTCTACTGGGTATAGTTTTTATGATACAAGTCAGGGCCAAAATAACCTCATTTTGGATGTATCTTTAAAATGAAAATGCCAAAAGTACATAGGTTTAAAAAGTTTGCTCTATTCAGTACTGTTTTAATTAATATTTTAGGGCTAAGATAACTTCATTGTTAATAAATCTCTAAAACTATATAGTGAGCCAATGGGGAACTAAATTGATTTACCAGTCCACTAAAATATTTAAGGGTTCATACCACAGTTTCAGAAATGTCTGAATTATAAAAAGTGAAATACGCCTTTAACCACTGAAAAAGGAGCTCTGAAAAAATTATACTTAAAACAAGGATATTCCATTGCCTTTTCCTCTAAAAACTACTGTAACTGTATGACTTTCAAGAAGATCATAAAAATTAAGGACAATGTAAATTTAAAATCTCTTAGACATAATATTTCATTAAATTCTGCTATACTCATGAACACCAGGTTGATTCACTCAGAAAGTTTATGCAAGGGGGTTTCAAAAAGTTCATGGAAAAATTCCCTTATCTTTTAATTCTATTTTTCCATGAAATTCTTGAAGCTGCCTCATATACTCTGACCACTGATATTTGATGTGCAACTACCTTTGAAAAGGATGTGGTAGTTTGCAAAGCCAGAAACACTGGAAGGCAGCTTTTAGAGGTGGAAAATAACTTACCCATGTAAAACAGGTGAAGAAATTTAGGTAAGCAGAGAGTAATTATGTAAGTTGGAATTTGACCAAGACACAAAAAAGTAAACACTGAAAAAGTGCCACACCATGGGAGCCTTAAAGCCCAAAGTAGTTTGGTTGCGAAATTAAAGGTTGTGTGGTTTTTGTGGATAACAGTGGAATTAGGACCAGAGCCCAGTTCCCAGCTCCTACTCGGGGTCTTTCTTGAGTTTCTGACCCTGGAAATTCTGGGCAAGTGACTTGGGCTTTCTGTGCCTCACTTTTGAAATTGTTCATCAATGGTAGTGCCTGCCTAAACTGCATGGGCTTTAACTAGGAGTATTGACTGAAAATGCACAGAAGGGTTTCTGTCTGGAGACAACGTATAAATCTACATCAGTATTTCGTTGTAGAAAACTTGGCAGTCATTTGGCCCAGGTTGATGCCCGTGAATCCATTCAATACAGAAATCACCATGGCACCTAAAGGATACCCATCCCTCACCTTTGGTCCAAATTCTTCCTATGCCTAAACACATTTAGATGAGTAAGCTGATGAACTTCTAGGCCCAGGAAGGACGGCTTCAGGCCAATAGGACAATAACACGCATGCGCAGCAATTGTAGTCTTCCTTTTGTCGAGTGGCGATATGAGTGCTGCAGACTCTAATTTTTTTTTAAAGAAAGAAATTCGATGAGGAGTTAAAAAAAAAAAATACTGCTTATTCCATGGAACATGGCCTTGCTAAAGATGTTTTCAATTTTGGGGGCCTGCAAACAATTCTATTACTGTCTACTAGTTCCTCGGCAATAATTTCAGAATCACAGGATCACAAGAAGCCCAGGGCCATGATTATACATAAACTATATTTAGATGAAATGTTATCAAATTTTAAAAGGAGATATGTTCAGAACTCAGCTTAATTCAGCTGCACTCTGCCCTTGCACACAGTAACCAGCTATTACATTCATGGGGCTGTTCACAATAAAGCTTTGTGTAAAACGTGTTCTTCCACTATTTCTGGTAAACACTAAACACCCCTTATTAAGCTGAGGACTTTGGCTGATTCTGTTGGCACCAAATCATTAAATGTTCATGTAAATAGTGCAACAACATTTGATGATTAAACAAGTAACAAGGTATGCTTATGCCAAGCTAGTCTTTTTGCTCTTTCTACATTAGTTGTTAGTACAGTGTGCTTTTTATATATGGTCTCATGTTCAGAGAGCAACTCAGTCCTATCCTGAGATGCATTAGTATTTTATTTATGCAGTATGTTGTCCAACGGATTCATGGTAATTTCCAAAATAAATGATGAATTCACTCAAATATGCAATTCATTTATTGAATCATTTTGACTAGAAAGTGATGGGAATTTCTGCAAGCTTTTGTGTTGAGGTAGAAACAGTTGATTTGATTTGATTTTTGGAGAGAATAGAAAAAAATTACGCATAAAGCTAAGTTGGCTGATAAATCGCTGGCAGTTGCTACAGCCACCATTTTAATGCAGCCCCTTGGGTAGACTGCTTAGCTATTAGTGATATGTGCGAAGGAACAAGCTATCTGAAAAGGAGTTTAAAGGCTTGAAAGTCTCTTTTGAGAGATTTAGTAAGAAGGCTCAGCTCAGAATTATGGTTTGGGCTTCAGTGGTTACTGTTTGCAAATGTACTCAAATTACTCCTGCATGAGCAATGTTTATAGTGTGGCGAGGTATGTAGTTTTACTGTGCTATTTATTTAATTAATTATTTTGATTTCATTGCTGAATGGTTTTGTAGACTGATAACACATGGTTTTGGACATTGATGCTGTTGGCAAATCTATTTTGTGATAATATTAGTCTCAAATGACTCAATTCAGAGTTTTGTTCAGATGTTAAATTGAACTCCTGCATCCTGAGCATCACTCTTGCTGGCAGAGTGTGTGTACTGTTCACAGACATTAAGGTTGAGGTTGGCTAATTAATCAGTAATAACATAAGTGCATGTGCACACTCTACTTGTACTGAGTACCTGAATGCTGATGAGAACGTCTTCTGTAACTTGGTCCAGCACTGATTTTATATCTTCAATGGTGAAACCAACTAAAGGATCCAAGTCTGATGGAGCCATTTCTGGCTGGGTCTCTTCAGGGCCTTGTTCTTGATCCAACCTCTAGATATTGACAATGAATAACACTCAAATGATTTCTGAAGCATTCAATGGTTTTTATGTAACCCCCAAACTTTTATTGGCTTA